AAACTTCACCTGATTCAGTTTACAGACAGATGCTCAACCTCAGGCATGTCACAAGGAAAATGCAGTAATGTAGAGAATGTCCACGGAGTAGGCAGGTCAGCCCCGATGGACTACAGTGCAGCATGGGATGGATGCTGGAGAACTAAACTACCCCACAGCAAGGATGCGCCCTCACAAATGTAAACAAGCATTCACTCAAAACTGAAACAAACTCTGTTTCAGACAGAAGTCTGTATAAATACACCCAAGAAACACACGTACACATGTGACTCAGCATCTAATGATTACACTTAATAGGCATGTGTAAGCAGCAAACCTAGTCATATACATCCCTTAATCACAGGTCAAAAGAGTTGTCAAAACCTGCACTGATCAGGAAAATGCTGAGCATTTGGGTTTTTTAATCAGGAACATCAACTCCTGCAGAAGAGCAACAGCACTCAGAGAAGCTGCATCAGTGATTGAAGGCACCAAGCTGACCTCTCAGACTTGCATCCTAAAAAAATATGCTCAAAATTTACTTCAGAAGTTCCTTATTTTTACAGCATACTGGGAAATGTGAGGCCTGTAGTACTGTATCCAGCTCTGAGGGTGCCAGTACAAGACAGACATGGACATACTGGGGAAAGTCCAGTAAAGGGCCATGAAGATGATGAAGCCACTCGAGCATCTCTCCTGTGAGGAAAGGCTGAGAGAGCTGAGGCTGTTCAGCCTGGAGAAGAGAAGGCTTCAGCAGGGGATCTTATCAATGTATACAGATACCTGAAGGAAGGGTGCACAGATGGCAGACAGGCTCTTTTCAGTGGTGCCCAGTGAAAGGACCAGAGGCAATGGACACAAGCTGAAACATAGGAGGTTCCCTCTGAGTATCAGGAAACACCTTTTCACTGTGAGGGTGACCAAGCACCGGCACAGGCTGCCCAGAAAGGTTGTGTAGCCTCCATCCTTGGAAGTATACAAAAGCTGCCTGGCCATGGGCCTGGGCAAACACCTCAAGGTGTCCCTGCGTTCGCAGGGGGTTGGAAGGATGACCTCCAGAGATCCCTTCCAACCTCAACCCTTCTGTGAAATAAAAAACACTAGTTTTCTTCAGTCACCCATGAGACACCCTGAAGTCTTTCAGTAAGTCTGATGCACTCTTTTAATGTGTACTAGAACAATGATATGTTCTTTACAGACCATCACAAAGAACTTTCTGCATTAACTTGGGATTTGCAAGAAGCAGCAACTAAGTGGAATTTCAGTTCCATTAAGATGCATATGCAGCTTTTAAACTACAAGAGACAATATTATTAAGTATTCTCAAGGCATGCTTAGAAAATTCTGCCAGAGTTGGGGTTTTTTTCCTCATTAACACAGGCAAGTATTAAACACATATGGTGACCCAAGATGCAAATAGAAATGATTTTCCAAACACAACTGAACATGTTGGGAATCTTCACCGTCCACTATTTTCAGAAGCAAAAAAATGCATCTTCAATCATCTAAGCACCCCTGAAGATCTGGTTTTATAAGTCATGGAATTAAATTTGTTGTTACCAGAGAGTGTACCAAGAGAAAGGACTGGGTGTTGAAGGCAGGAGGGGAAAACCTAACCACAAATACAGTATTTTTGGTTTGCATCCAGGAACTGCTCTTTCAGCTTAGTCAAGGCAAGAAGATTTACTGTGCAAAAGAAACTGTACTATTAAGGTGAAGAAAAAACACCCAGAATTTATTCTCTGTGAAGACTGCAGAGCCTGTTAATATTTATGAAGCCTGAAGTGGCTTCAAAGACTCCTTATTTCATTTTTTTATGTCATAACAACAAGCAGCACTAACTCATTAAATTTTAAGGTGAGTTCGCACTAAACTCTAACTGTTTTAATAAATTCTGAGCTCCTAGGAAAAGGTCTAACTTCCATCTTTCGTGTGTGTGTCCCCCATACTAATGACAATGGCCAGAAGATTAAAAAAACCTGCATTTGTCCAGAAACTTGAAAGATGAAAACACATAAACCTTAGAAGCATTCAACATTATGACCCAAAAACTGCATTCAATAGCTGTATTTCTCTGCACATATTATTTCATGGATTAACTTGCCACCTGGCAAGGTCAGGTGCAGCAGGCAGAGAGAGAATCTCTTTTGGAAGACCTTGATTAAGTATTTACTGTCAAAAGTTCTCCCTCTGCTAAAACTCTGTGTCATAAAAATAACATTAGAGGAAGACATCTCTCCTCCTAGCACAGATGCTGCCATGCAGATATCATTTAACTGAGAAAAATCTACCTAGGAAAGGAAATATGTTACAAGATAAAGCTAGGAAACTGCGTACTTTATTTGGGCCTGACACAGTCATTTTTGGACAAGAGAGCCTCCAGTTTGGGATGGCAGATTTCTCTGCACATAATCCTGGAGTATTCCGGCAACATCCAGGGCTTTAGGGACTTCGAAGTTAAAGAGTATCACTGCTAAGCCTGATAAACACTGGGGTTAAGGAGAGGGAGGAAAAGACCAGGACAAGCCACTGAATAGCTACATAGCTTTAACTCCAAAAATTCAGCAAGGTACATGTTGCACTTGCCTCAGTCATTCCTGAATAACGTTTATTTTCCAGTCCTATGAGAAACAAAACAACAGGAAGTGTGATCCATTACTTAAATAAAAAGATACTCACCATGAAACTGTTAATGGGACCATATGGTACACAAAACGCAGTCTTGAGATGGATTCTTGTCTCAAGAATCCCTATGGATTTGGTGGTGACCGAGTCAAAAAAGCATAACTTTTAAGCAGACAAAATGTCAAATTGGGTCTTTGTTAATTTCCCAACAGATCTGTCACTGCTTTGGGGGTTAAACAGGTAGTGCTCCTCCTTAGCTTTGAAGTCTCTGTATTAAAGAGTGAATAATCAATGAGACTGAAGTCACAACAGACGTATGCAGTAACACATGCATGCACGTCACATGTACACCTGACTTTTAACAGCAGCACTAATCACTTCTCAGACACTGCAAAAGTTCCCTTACCAAAACAAAATATTAAACATGTGTTTGGAATTTTTACCTCTAGGTCTCAAAAACCATTGACACTTTGGCATCCAATACTGCCCCAGATACTCATATAATGAACTTCAGTTCCTACAAGCTCTGAGTATCACACACCAGGAGGAGGAGAAGGTTTAGGGCCAGGGAACAGCTTCTGCACTGGCTACCTGCTGTAAACCACCGGGTTATTAGCTTCCAGCCAGGAAGACAGCTGGTCTGCGCATCAGCCCCCTTATTTTCCCTCTACCAATCTCCAAAACAGGGTCCCACCAAAAAGCAGAGCCAGGACAAGCTTTTTCCAGCTGCTGCCCTTAATTCCTCCCTCTGTTACAGGCACTGAGGGCAGGTCCCCAGGCCATAGCAATGCTGGCAAGGCAGCCAGGAGGGAGGTCTAAGCCTGGGTGATGCCTTCACCCACAGCAGAAGCAGTACCATGCCAAGGAGTGGCACACGTGCATTCAAGCAGCAGCAGCCTCCCCCATGCCACTCAACAGTCACCCCCTTACTGCGGACGCACAGACCAGACCAGGTCTCACCAGTGCCACAGTTAACAGAGGAAATAATAGCAAACCCAAAAGTCTGACGCTTTAGCTCAGGTTAGTTCCGCCTGCCACCAGCCAAAACCACCTCCAAGAGCTTACCTGCAACGCTGGAAGCACGACATGGCTCATCTTCAGCTCAGTCTGGCATCTCAACCCAAAGCCACCTTTATTATGACAGAGGAACGAGCCAAACATACTTGTGGCCACCGTATGAAAAACAGTGAAACACTACTCAGGCTTTCACGGATTTTTACATAATTTGGTATTATAGCACCAACAATTAAGTTTATATTTTATCAGTTTCACAGCTAGTAGCTTAAATGTCAGCTTCAGAAGAGCACAGACTAGGACTAAAAAAAGTCTTTGCTTTCTGAACAACTGATGGCAGCTGGTAACTAGCTGTGGCATTTAAAAACAAAAAAAAAAAAGTTCAAGACAGCTGAAATCTCTGAGGGATAAAACTACTTCTCACATGTTAGAAACTAAGGCAGGACGCTGACAGGTAATGCAGAGCACGGGATCCCTGCTTTGTTAAATAAAGCAAACCTCACAAGGTTCCCAGGTCTAATTTCCAATTCGGATGCCATCCAGATTCCCTCCCCCCCCCGACGGGGGCCGGATGAGGTAAAGCAGGGGTCCGACGCAGCTCGCACTGTTCCCCCCCCCCCCCACGGGAGAACCCTGCCAGCAGCTGTAGGGAATACCACCGCGATCGCAGCCCGCGGAGAGCAGGCGCGGAGCAGGGCTGGCAGCGACAGCGGGCACAGCACAGGTCGACACCACCTCGAGAGAGCAGCTAGGGCGAGCTGCGCTCACACATGAAGATGTGACCTTTACGGGGTTCACTGCCACCCTCCCTACGCTGTGTTTACTACAGCCTGGGACTCCCGGCTCCGCGTTCCACCGGGACGGTGGCGGCGGGGCACGGCAGTGCCCGGGACGGCTGCTCCGCGCTGGAGGGGCGCAGGGAGCGGAGCAGAGCTGCTCCCCGTCCCCGGGACAGCGGGCGGGGGCAGCCAGACACCCCAGCGCCCACGGGAACGGTCTCCATTACCCGCAAACGGATGAAAAAGGCCCGGAAAGATGATCCACCGGCACAGCTCCCCGGGGTCTCCTCCCGTAGCCCCTATCCCTCGCACCCCCGGCAGACACGAACAAAAGGCGACAGCGAGAATGGAAGAAGCAGCCCCTCCGCGGGTGCCCGGCCCGGGGCGCCGGGCTCGGCCCGGCGGGAGGCACGCTGCCCTGCACCGGGCTGATCAGGGGGCGCGTCTGTCCCAGCCCGGCGGGTCTCCACCGCCCCGGCCTGAGGAGCTCGGGACCGGGATGGGGATTGAACGGTCCGTACGGAAACAACACACACACACCCCACACCCCCCTCGACCATGATTCATATTCCTGCCCCGAAGGCGGCCCGGCGAGACACTCACCCTGCTCGTAAATCGGAGCAAACTCTCATTCACTCTCCCCGCGGTGCCCAGGCCGCCGGATCCAGGCGACGCCCCGAGAGCCGCCGCTCGCCGCGCTGGGCCGGGCTGGGCCGTGCGCCGCTGAGGCCGGGAGCTCCGCTCAGCCCCCGACAAAGTGCGGCGCGGCCCGCCTGCCCGCTGCGGGCGAGGGCGGCCGCAGGTGTCCGTCCACCGCCGCCGAAGCCGTGCCGAGCGCCCTGCGCAGCCGCCGCCGCAGCGCCAGAGCCGCTCGCCCCACCCCCGGTCGGCGGCGGCCCCGCGGCGGGAGGCCGCAGAGGCGGAGCGGGCGGGGCGGCACATGGGCGGCGAAGCCCGGCCCAGCGCGGCCCGCAGCAGCACAGCGGCGCAGAGGGAGGCGTTCTTCGGCCGCAGCCCGGCCCCTGCTCCGCGGGCGGCGGAGGCGGGTCTCACGGTCCGCCCGGCCCGGCGGGGAGAGGCGTCCGCAGGCTCTGCGCGGAGCGGCAGCGAGCAGCCCCCAGTCCCGCCGCCGCGCTCGGCGCCTGCGGAGGAGCCCAGACGCGTAGCAGGCAAGATTCTCCGTAGTGCGCTGGCTGCCTGTGGTGCGGGCTGTGGTGCCGCTGCGCCGTGCGCTGCGCGCCGGAAGGGGCTGCAGCGGGGTTTGCGCTGTCCAAGTATGCTCTTTGCGATGCAGCTTGTACCGTAACGCTGCGCATGGGTAGCGGTGGCGTGCATTGTGGCCGGAGCCTGAGCTCAGCAGGGTCAGGGCTTCGTTGTGCTTCGGGCTTGGCAGATACACACACACCGCGTCATCCTTGCCTGTGCTTTGCTGTCGTTGTGGCAAGCGTAGCGCCGGAGCTAACCGCACCCCGGTTAACGGGGGGCTGAGGGAGAAACACATGCCCGGGCCTGGGCAAGGCGGCGGGGGCCGGGGGCTGCAGTTCCGCCAGGAGCGCCGCTGGCCTGGGCCGGTGGTGCCGGTGGGCTGGGCTGGCTGTCTACAGCCTCACACACGCTGCGGAACCCAGGCCTTATGGGAGGGTGCTGTTCCTGCGTACCGACACCTCTATGTCAACACTGTGTATTGTTAATCATTTACTAAGTATACAGGGCTGTACACCATCGCTCATGCACTGTTTGGTGTGTTTTGCACTTCTTGCTGTTAACCCGGATCTCTTTGTCATAGGTTAAGACATACAGAGTGCGTATGCTGTGAGATATCCTTTTATTTCTCATTCCTCTCATGTCCCATCCTCAGGGTTTGGTGATGTAGGGACTGCTCCACGAAGTGGCTGCCATGCAGCGTAAGCAATGTTACACAATTGTGTAATAGGTTTGTCTACCTCAGCGCCTGTCTCTAGCGCAGCGGAGGGGAGCCGTGATGTGCTGCATGGCGTTCCCCAGTACCCCTCAGGACAGTGGCTCTGGTTCTGCTGCCAGACTTGTCCATTTGCAGGGTGATGACCAGTGACACGTTTTGCACTCACCAACGTCCCATCATATCATGCCCTTTGCATGCTGGCGTTGTAACGCTTCAGTTTTTTGAGATCAAGAATTTATGAATCAAAAGATGGGGGAGTGGAGCCATGTGGAGGCTGAGTCAGATTGTGAAAAAGGAAAGCCAAGCAAGAGTGTGCAATTGCATATCACATTTACAAACACGGTTTCATTCATCTCCATATGTTGCTCCTGTTACTACTAATAAAGCTGTGGTTTCTCAGATTGGTGCTACCCCAGGAGCACGGTTTGATCTTCCTGGGGTTTTTACTCTATAGCCTCCATAGTGTTTGTGTTATAGTGTGTTATTTTCCCAGTTATGTTTTTATTATGTTGAACACATGTTAACAACAGAATTCGATCCTATGAATGTATGTCCCACACCTCTTCTCATATTCCTGTTATTCAGTATGCAAAGGAGTGACAGATTACTTGCCAGTAGCAATTTTTTCTTTATATTGGCAAGATTTCCTAATTATAAAAACAGAAAAAAAAAGCTTTTCTTTGAGTGCACACCCCTGTTTGCTTCCCCTTGCTTTCCTCCTTCTGCTATTGATACCCAGCTCCACCATGGTGATTTTGGAGGTGCGGGAAATCCAGCTTTGTCTACTGAAAGTTTCCTACAGAAGCCTCTATAGGCAAAAGAAGCCAGAGAGCAAGGCCTGCTCCAGGTATAATAGGGTTTTCTTCCCTGGCAGGAAGGTAGAACTGTAAAGTGTATAGTAATTAGTTTAATCCAACACTGGGAGAGAAGGAGGAAGAATTACTGTATTGAGAAAAATAAGTGGGGTTTTTCTTAAGTTTCATATGTAATATCTAAGTGGCAATTTCAATGACCTTCATGGTTTCTATTTTAGACAGAAGACAGAGTACCAGAGTATCATTTGCCTTCTCCTGGCGTCATCCTTTTTTTCTCCTGGGTTTAGCCTGTTGCTTCCCAAAGCTTGTCTCTGTCCCTCGTTGAGGCAGCAGCACCTTTCACCCGTGACTCTCAGAAGTGCTGTTCTGGCAGGTGATTTTTTTCCTCCAACTGCTTATTTCACGTCTTCTCTGCTGTTCAAGGGCTTTCTTCTTATGACCCCTCTGCGAGTCTCTTGTCTGTGTCTTATTTATGCTTTGGTATTTCTTTCTTGCCAAGCATTGTGCTGCTTACCTTTCCTCTTCTCCCTGCTTTTTCTCTGCTCATGCCTTTTCTCTCATTTTTGTCCCTTTTCATGTGTCTTCTCCTGTCTTCCCCTACCCCTTTCTTTTTCTGTTCTGATACCCTGTCTTGCTGCCTGTTCTCCGACATCTCAGTTCAGTCCCCTGCCTTACTCTGCCTTCCTCTTCACATTTTTTCTCCACACCGTTCCTTTGGTCACTGTTGTCCTCCATCCTTACCTGTACATATACATGTATGTATACATTTGTATCTACTCCAGATCTTCCATTTTCCATCTGAAGCAAAGAAATTACACATGCTGGTAGTATCATCCTATTGCGTCCCTTTCTCAGCACCTGAAATACGCTGCTCCTGCCCATCATCAAGCACATGTATTGTGTAGACTAAAGAATTAGCTATGTGGGAAATGTTCCTGAATTCAGAACTGGACTTGTGAGAGCAGCTCAGTCAGGCTGCACTGTGATCAGAGCAGTTACTGTGCTCCCACTGACGATGCCAGAGGAGGGCTGTAACCCCTGGACTCCAGGACCCAAGGGCATTTTTTTCACATTCCTAAATTTCTGAGGTTTGGTTTTGAAAAGTCTGTAACTTTAGGTAAGGGACACTGCCATCTATTTGAATTACCCATTGAATCCTGGGCTGATCCAAAGTAAGACCCTACAAAATGCTTTGTTTCCAATTACTTTGTTTTGTATGTTTGTTAAGCCATTTTTGTGCAGCTATTGGGAGAGATAGTTTTCTCATCAGAGCTAAGCTCTGCCTCTGAAAAGGGCTCTGTGTGGGGTAAGACTGGGACCTTGGCTCATCAGCTTCCCTTTTTTCTAGAGCCAGAGGGAGAGGAGAATGCTGTGACTGTAGGATCATGTGTACTGAGTGGGAGATGGAAGAATAGGTGCATAACCCAAAAATGCTACATTAACCTCAGGGTGTAAGAGGTGGAGTTGTTTAATAGTATTTCCCCTTGACAGTAACTGACTGCAAACAGCATCACTGGGGATCAAGGGCAAAGATCTTGTTATTTAAATAAGAATCTTTTTTAAAAAAATCTGATTTAATAATTAAACTTTCCTCTTGTCTTTCAAAAAGTGTACTACTAACTGGCAGGAATGAAAACAGCTTCATCCCACGGATTCCACCTCTGCTTTCTGGCAGCTTACCTGACTCATAAAGAGAGTGGGGGATTTTATATGCCACCTACATAGACTCAACATTTTCCTTTGTGGGGAGAGTTAATCACCACCCTTGTCATACTATTTCACTGGCCCTGTTGAAGATGTGGTCTGTCAGGGGGGGCTGTTTGTCTTTCAAATCAGCCTTAAAGCTTCTTACAGAAAAGGAATGATGTTCTGGGTTTTTTTCTGAATTAGGTGAAAATGCACAGGCAGTCCACTACTATAAGGTTTTCTGTGTTATTTACCCCAGGATTAGGGAAAAGAGTTTCTGTTTGCAGAAGCCTCATGTCTGACATGATGTGCCACTCTGGCCACATCTGGATGTGCCACAACTGGAGAGTTGAGGTGCATTAGCTGAAGGTAAAGGACCATCCCCTAGATAATCATTGCAGGTGGTGTGCACTGAGGAAGAAACTGGGTGGTTGTAGCCACAGTGATCAAGGATTTAGAGGGCAAAGTATTGGTGGCAGAAGAAATGTTTGTATTGGAGCAACAGAGGAAAATGGACATGCTTTGGGGCACATAAAATCTCTCCTTATAACCTGTTCATATAAGCTGTGTGATCCTGTCTCTTGTGAGGAGAGAGACTGTACATAGTAGACTGATACTTGTCAAACATAAAATACTGCATGAAAGAAGAGAGGAAGATGGGAATGAGAATAAAATAACGAAAGTGGCAATACAGTATACAGTGTGTACAGGAAGCGATGAAAGAAAGGGTAGGAGGACCTGAAAGTGCACCTCCAGGAAGGTTATTAGGCGTTACAAAGAGGACATGAGTTACCCTGAAAAGTGAGAGGGAGCTTGAGCAGAAAAGCATGTGACATTTTTGCAGAAGAAATTATTGACATGAGGTGCAGGGAGCACAGAGAGGAAGGAGCATCTGAGACCACTCTGGAGCTTCGCACTTAAATAGAAATGGTAGCGTGAGGAAGGGCCAGGGAAAGCATTTGATTCAAGAGTCTCTTCGTTTCTCTGTCACAAGGGCAGGCAGAGTCGAGGAATGGGAAGGAAAGGGAAAAACCAAAACCTGAAGTGAACTGCTGGCAAATGCGGATGAAGGAAGGGGTAGGGAAGCTGCTGCCATGTTGGTGGAAAGGGAGAAATCCTCTTTGGATCCTCTTTGGGATGTAGAAAATGACCAAGTAAGAAGTGAAGTGCTGTAAGACAGGAGTTAGGGAGCATCCCATCAGGAATGAGCTGCTGACTGTACCCAATATAGATATAGGTTATTTCTATTCTAGATGTGTATAAGCCTTAAAATGCATTGCAGATTCAGTAGCTCTGCCCTGAAGATATGGATGCTGCAGCTGTCTTGCTCTTCCTGTCACACCTTCCTCTTTCTCCCACACCAGAATTAATCCATACTCTCTCCTCTCCTGCACTGTGGGTCCTCAGCCCAGCACTGATCATCCTTCTTATTGATGCACCTGCCTGATAACTGGGGCACGACTAGAGATAAGGACTTGGGAGTCACTTGCAAAGAAAGATGTGCCTCTTCAAGCAGAGGCACTAATGAGCTCTGTGGAGGGTGCATGCTGTGAAAGGCACCAGCAGGGAAAAGAGCAAAGGGTGAGCACTGCATCTGAGAAAGAAGCAGGTCAGGAGACTGCAGCAGTGGGAAAAACAAAGGTGTGGAAAGAAGCCTCAGGAGGAAAGTGAGTGTAGGAGGATGGAGCTATGGATGGTTAAAAATAACAGTGTGGTACAGATAATGTGGCACTCTGCTGCCTTTGAA